CACTCTACGACACCATCTTCCGCAACGTATGCTGCATGCGTAAGCTTTGTGCTGGTCCGGACTGAAATGCGGAATGCTTGTAATTCACAAGAATATTTCTCGGAGCAAAACCATCCAACTCAATGGCGAACTTCTTGATCTTATCCGCAATCTTGCTGCGCTTGCGTTCGGCAGCGGATTTGTTTTCTGCAGCCCATAATTTTCGCATCTTCATGCCTACGTGCTTCTTTTGCGTGCGGACAAACTTTTGCATGGAGTCTGCGGATGTAAATTGGGCGAATGCCACAACGGGGCTTGGGCTAGTAGTATAAATGTCGACGACACCCGTCACATCAGCAAGGATCTCTTTGACCAAGGCTTCTGCCTGTTCTGGGTCTTGCTCACCAAACCCGCCGATGACTGCCACTGTCCGATCTTCGTTGTCATGAGCGCGCAAAGTTTGTTTGGGTGGTGTCGTCTCCGAACGCGACACGCGCTCTTCCAACTCCCGGCGTGCCTGTCCCTCTGCTGTCAACTCGTCCCGAAGCTGCAGAACAGTGTCGTCAAATCTACGGCCCTTAGAGTTTTCAAGCTGCGAAAGCTCTTCTCGCATTATGCCACGCAATGCCGTCAAGGTGGCCGCGCTAATCTCTACTCTGGTGGTGCTGGATTCCGATAGGTCTGATGACAGAGCTCTGCTTGTTGGATCCCTGGCTGATTGTTTACTGCGTGCAGCGGCTTCTTTGTCTGGTGTTCCTTCGGGTGCAGCCCTCTTCGTTTGCAGCTGCGTGTCCATTTTATCGTCGTCAAACTTCATGAACACCCTCTCGAAATCGGCAGACAAATCCTGCCACTGTGCGCCTTTCGAACTGGCTTCCCCCACTGTGCCAGAACTTTTGTATTTCTCACACCTTTCAAAAGCTTTGGTCCCAGGCTTCTTCGGATTTGTCTGCTGGAAAACCACTTTCGTCTCAGGTTTCTTCAAAGCTTCCGTCTGAACACTGGACAAAGGCATGGCTCAAGGAAGTCCCTACGGCACGGGATGACCCGTTTTTCACTTGAGCTTGGCTTGAACCGCGTAGGCTTGAGCCAGACCTTGAGCCAATACAAAAACATACGTGCATTTCGAAAGCGCGCATTGCGCACTCACCGTACTGCCAACTCTGAACTCTCTTCGCTGGGGCACTGCTCCGCGACGGCTTGCTCGCGCTCGCGCCCGGGATCGGTCCCGCGGGCGCGGGCTGCAGGAATCGCCGTGCTCACGCGCCGCTGGACTTCAATAGCAACGTTCGCCACCTTACGGGGCGCACGCGCGACGCCTGCTGGAGCTGCGGAGTCGGCCCTGTGATGCCAGCAATGCCGCAGCTCCTGGCGGAGTCACCATACGCGTGCCGTGGCAGGTTCGGTACTGTAGTCAGGTAGCTCTCCAGACGCGCCCACGGACCTCAGGCGGAAAAAACAACATCGGACCCACGACCAGTTTGTTTGGCTCTCCTGTCATGTCGATGGGCGGCAGCCCAACCGCGTTCGTGCACACACGGGCAACATGTCGGAACTTCGTGCGGCTGGGACGGTAGTTCGCTGCGCTCCCTGTCCCGCTTCGCGGCCGCATGCGGCCCGTCGCCTGCCGCAGCATGCGCCTTCATGCAGCAAGCCTTCGACGGTTAAACCGCACTTGCTCACGGAAGGTTGGTCGGCCTGTCCCACTTGCAGCTGCCTATGGTCGCAACACCACGCAACGCGGGCGGGCACCTCCTGCGGTCCCAGCCAGGACCACAAGCCGGGGCCTGGCTCACTGCCATACCCTCGGATGAAGCCCACGTCCTTGCACCTGAGGCCGTGCAGATCGCGTTGCGACGTTTGCGTCGTGCTGTGCCAACATTTGCGCCGCCTCCGAGGTGCCGCTGGGTCATTCTCGGCATCCAAGTTGGCGGACGCTGGAGCGCTGAAACGGCGAAAACAGACACAATCCAATGCTTCGGCATCTCGAAGCATAATCTTCGGACGTTCGGCTTGCGTGCCTGAAACGCTAGCAGCCCCACCCCTGCTGGCATCGAAACGAAAATGACACCGCGAGCGCTCCCAACTGCAGCATTTGTCACGGCTGGTGTTGCAGAACCTCCAATGGGGTTGTTAATTAAGGTTGCGGAGGACACCGGGTTTACACGGGCCCAACTCCGATGACGTAAAAACTTGGCAGGCGCGAGCATGCACCCCACGGCGCACCTTCGCAGAAACAGCAGCCTTTCGTACTTCCGCCATTCTGTCTGCATTGGTAGCACATGTGCATTCGTCAACGCTGCACCGTGCCGCTAACAGCAGGCTCAGCCAGTCGCCCTGCTGGAAAGCGGTGGCCCGGTACAGAAGTTCAACTGAAGTCCATCACGCGGTGACTGGTTCCTGTTGGGAGCACGGCGTTGGTACGAAACAATTTCCATGCACGCGACCGCGAGGCCGCATCCTATTCGGCAGCTTCGCGTTAACGGCAGGGTGCCGGCGTCGTGCCTGCACGCACGGCCACAAGCCAAGCAGTGTCCGGAAATCCAACAGCAGTTCTTCCACAGGGCCGTGGGGGTCGTTGGCACGATCACAGTCGCCGGCTGCCTCACCATCCGTTCATGGCGGCACCGGGCGGGGTGCGGGCTGTTTGCGGGGGCTCGCACGTCGTCGGCCAACGTTGGTTGTTTTTGTCCGCCCATCTTGTTCCGGCTGCCGACTTCATGTAAGTGGGCGACGGCCATCCCGATATATCCCAACACTAGATCTTTTTTTTTCCCTCGGCCCTTTTTGCGCCAGGAGTGATGCGGTCCCAGAGCAGGGGGGAGGAACTGCAGCTACACGCAAACACTAGATCGAACTTAAGCTGATGCAGCTCTTGCACAAGCCCATACTTTCAGGCAATGGAGCATGTGCGCTCCAGTGCTGCTGTTGCATCTGCCACGGGTCTGCCGCAAAAAAAGTTGGACGACTTTAAGGGCAGGGGGATCACGCACATCCATGGATTGTGTGAGTGGTTTGCTGTAACTACGTAGGCACATGATACGAACACTGGCTCGACATATCACATCTCTTGCTAACTGGTGTGTGATGTGTGCAACGCAAGCAACAAGCGGCACCAATCAAGATGGATCGATGTTGTTGGTGCTGCCACCAGTTTCAAGTTTCAACATTGCGGAATGACGTGTGGTACGGTCGCATAGATTCCAGGCAAACGTTGGCGAAACCGTGAGACCAAAATAACAGCACGGGCTCTGCTTCTTTTTCCCCCATGTCGGAGGCACTGAACCACCTGTGCGGATAACACTCAACGCCACTTTTTTCGTCCTGGGCGTGTGAACCATGCCCCCATGCCCGAGTGCAAACGGAGAGTTCCCATGGCGCCAGCTCGCAGCTGACCAGGCGCCTTGCAGCTGCCGCTGTGGTGAGAACGCCGCGCTGTTCGTGAAAGGGCACTGAGACCACGAATCGATTTTTCGAGACAAGGAGCGCAACAAAACTTAAACATACTTGAATCGGCGTTCGTTACCCAAATCGGAGTTGCGGATTTGCACCAAATGTGTGCGAAACAAAACAGGCTTGCACCGGGGTTCTTGATCTCCACAGCCGAGGATCAAATACATAAATACCGCCCACTGCTTCCCATTGCGGCGAAATCCGTCAGCAAAACGAGCGCTGGCACGTGTCTATGCAGCGGTCTGAGTGCTGCAAAGCTGTGCACATCGGCAAACTGTTTTCACGAAGCCAGTGTGCGTCTACGAAAAGTTCTCTCCGTGCTGAAGGCTCACCACAAGCAATGCAGTTGCAGGGGAAGCTCGATGAGTGAAGCTGCGAGGGCATGCTGGCTGGCAACGACACTAAGCCATTCCATCGCTGAACCCCTGCAACAAGTGCAGCACGGCGCGCCCTCGCCAGCAAACGCGGAAGGGCAGTTACTACGCCTAGTCGCCGCGACTTCGCCAGAACTTCGTCATACATGCGAGTCCAGGTACGCAAGACACGCAACAGGTTCCTGCCGTACTTGACTCCACATGTTGAAACGCACATGCCTGAAACACTGCGCCTAGTCAGCAGCTGTTGTCTGCCGAAGAAAGAGCATCGGCGCTTGCATGTTTGTGCCAACGGTTCGTGAATGTGGGGATAGGTCGACAGAAGTCATTTTGCGTCAAAATTCCGACGGATCCACGATTTGCCAAACCAACATGTTGCGTACAAAACCGTGTCCCGTTCCCCATCTTTCGGCCGGTATATAGCGTGAGCCAAAAACTTTACTGTGTTGGAATAATCCAAGTCGGGGACTTTGGAACTCTATGGCCAGCGAACTCCCTCGAGTGCGAACAAGACTTCGAAGCTCTTCCTCGCCCTCCCGGGTATCGGCGCCCAAATGAAACAGTTGAGGCTGCAATCATCTTTCCACGTCATTGAAACACATGTATATAGGACGTTGCAACACATGGGAAAGATTGTGACATAAAAACCACTGTGTAGCCAGCCATTCGCAACATGCAGCATATGCAGCCTGCAAAACGCACAGCATCACGCTCTTCAAAAACATGAAACCAAATCCACAAACAGTTCAAACGAAACTAAATTCAGTAACAGCATTGCACAGCAGCACAGAGCAGCGCACACACAGCCAGCACGGCAAACGTCCGAATTTTATGATATTTGACCCGCCCTTACGCACATCCCAATGGCGTCGTCGTTGCTATTTGTTGTTGCAACAACTCGACACTACTGGTGTGGTTGGACAAACATGTCCATGCGTGGCTTGTTTGTGCAATTATGGCATTTACCTTCCAGAAAGGACTGAGATTGTGTTGCTTCCGCAGCACAGAGCTTGTGAATCGGCGGATCCCGAAACGCTCGCAAATTTATGGGAATGGCATGAGTCTCTCCTAGGCATCGGAAGCATCCTTCGCTTGCAATATGTGTTTCAACCACACGGTCTTGCAGTTCGTCAGCTGTTTGGAACTGTTCCTTTAGCTCGCTATGCATAACCGCTGATTCACTGGGCACCAAGCATTCCCAGCAAGAAGCGCTTCCACCACATCTGTGCGCAAAAACGGCGAGGGATTGACCGCAGGCAAACCATTCGGGCACAAGCACTGAGATGCCCTTGCGCGGCTGCTACATGCAAGGCCGTCCAGCTGCCTGAACAGGATCCAAGCAAATCGGAACCAAACAACAACCGCAACAAGTCATGAAGTTGGATCCAAGACCACGCATTCCTGCAGACCCACGCTCATGAACGGCTGCACGTTGGGATAGAAGCTCCCTGACGGTCACAATATCTCCTTGTCACTTCGGTCGCACAAGCATACGACAAGTCTGCAATAAAACTGTCGAATATGTGGCCAAGCAACCCGCATAAGATGCGCTTTGCAGCTCCGTGAACGACATGAGACGGAAACCATTTTTGCCACTGGTGCAAACACCTTGTCTTGGCGGCTTTTTGGCCTTCTTTTCAGCAATGTTGCCTGTGATTGTCTGAACAGGCGACATCATCTCGACAAGTGAACATTGACATGTCTAGCAAGTGTCCGCCACATGCATATCCATGCATCCAATTAAGAAGTCTTTTCACATGCACTTTGCATCGCGCCTAGCATGGTTTGCAATTCTAAACAGTGTTTTTTGAACCACATGTTTCAAAGCTGCTGATGCTGCTTTCCTGCCGATCCAGTTCAACTCTCCGTCCAACGAATTGCTACGGTTTTAGATTCAGTGCCAGCTGCCAACAATGCACACTTCGTCACCCACCAAGCAGCAGTTGCCAAAAGGCCTCGAATTGACTTTCCTTTGAGCAGCGATGGAAGACAAGCGCACTATCGGCTGTGTCGCAGAAGCTCAGCTTCATGTTTCCGCAAAACACCTTTAAAAACAACTGCGTGTCCATTTCCAACCCAACGACGACTTGACGATTTGTGCTTTCCGCATGCGCGTGATGAGCCTTTTCTCTTGATCTTGCATGTTTCTTCAAACTGTTCTTCATGCTGATCTGACAAAGCAAAATGCAAAGCCAGCAAGCTTTTTTTTGTTTGCGGGCCTCTTAGACAGCGTCAGCTGCAAACCATCCAAGATAAGCTCTCCGACGGATGCAACGAGCGACCCGCAAAACTTGTTTCCGAGTTGTTGTGAGTCCATAGCTCTGGTGGCAGCTATCGCACCACCATCCATCACAATGTTGGTAACCATGTTAGCCCAGTCTAAGCCTGGGACTTCTGCCAGTTTCTGAAAACTTCGACAAAGCTGAGCAAAGCACAGCGCACACTACTGGCCAGAATCGATTCCGCACCACACCTCGATCGACATGAATCACACTGATGCCACGTCCTGCCCAACATGAGCTCTTGGGTATTGGTCTTGAAGTGGCATCCATGATAAGGAACGCAACGGTCTTTATCTTCAAGATGTTTCATGGCCAGCAAACGTTCTCTGCACACGCATCACATCACTCGATATGGGCAACTCGTCTGTTTGCAGGACAGTTACTGGCGTGGCAAGTTGCAACAAAACTCTTTGAAAGTTTCTGCAAACTTCCTGTCGTGAGACAACCTTCTTACAAACCCTCTTGCAAACAGCAATGTCGAACCCAAAGCTCGGTTACCAGCATATGCACTTCAGGCGTCTTCAGCTTCTTCCATGGCCTTTTTAGATTATTTGGTTGGAATTGCTAAAAAAAACAAATTAAAAAACGCCGACGCTTTTCAATCAAAAACATACATGCAGAAATCATACGGCAGATTGCTGAAGGTCTTGGCTTTCTTTTCACGGAAGCCTGCAAAGAACCATCAAGTTTTTGGGTGCCGCTCCAACAGAACTGTTCTTCAAACCTCAATACCAGTCTGATAGAGGTTTATGTTTGACACAGGTGTTAAAATGAATCCTAACTGTCGTTTTTGCAGACGGACCCACTAAAAGACTTCCTTTGTGGAAGAACTTGCCTTTCCGCGTACAAAAAAAGCTGCAAGCTACAACATGTGAAAAGCATCTGAGTCTTGACGCTGTTTCCAGGCCGAGGCTGCTTGTCAAAATTTTCTGAGTCTTTTCCACCGCCAGGCCATCAGCCAGAAGAAGCAATTTGAAGAAAGTTGATGCCAAGTCGGTGGAAGGGATTGAACAACAGTTGCATTTTATCTAAATCCAGATCTGTGCTGTGCCATCTTAGAATCTCTACCATGGCCAGGATCTCTTCCGGACCAAGCTTCTCTGCCTCTTCCTTCACAGGTATTAGGACGAGCAAGGCCGGTCGGGTAGAAGTTTTAATCTAACTGTTTCTCTCTTCAACATCTGCGCAAGGTATCCTTCCACATGATGTGGAGATGGAGCGGACGAATCTTGGCACTGAACTGCAAGATGTCTGACGCCGATGTATGGTTCACAGCTTTGTATGTCTTGGAGACAAGGGAAGTGGACGAGCATCCACATTTCGTGCAGTTGCAGTGAGCATGCATTCTTTTACAAGGTGTGCTAGGCCAGCTGGATTTGAACTCCATCGCTTGGGAACCAAAGGGTAAAAATGCGGTTGCATTGGTAGGATCATGCCAACTTTGTCTCACTCGCAGCGACGATCACTCAAGACGTGCTTCGTGCAAAGTCCAGCAAAAGGCCGCTAGTGCGTAGGGACGCCCTAGCTTTGTCTCTTAGCTGTGTGATTGTA